CGCCCAAAAAAAAAAACCCCAAAAAAAAAAAAAAAAAAAAAGAACCCAGGAGCAGGTCCAGCCTGGTGGTACAGTCCATAGCAAACTGCACTGCAGAACTGGAGGGCACAGGCCTGCCATGGATTTAGATTCCTAGGTCAGCCTGAAACACACTGGGTGTGTGTGCAGGTGCCCAGATCTGTGGGATAATGAGACCTGTCGAGGGTCTTTTGCTCCCCTCCTCCTCATATGTGCACACACACTCTATCATTAGAAAAGAGGATTCTGGAGGGCCAGCTCAGTGGCACAGCGAGGCCAGGTGCGCGTGGAAGATTCTGGGTTCAGTTTCCCGGTAGGCCCGCATGGCCGGGTGCACATGCCCATGACTGGCTGGCTGGGAGAGCTGTGGTGGGTTGCAGCGTGAAATCCTGGTAAGGGTACTTGCTCTCTCTCCCTCACTCTCAAGAAAGAAGTGAACTTTAAAAAACAATTATTTTTATTTAATTTTATTTATTATTATTATCATTATTTAATTTGCTATAGGACACGTGCACTTATCAGAGAGAGTCAAAGTGAGAAAGCAAGCCACGGGGTCTGGGACTTAAACTGTGGTCAGCTAAGTGGGAGCCCAGCGCCTTAATACCACACTACCTGCTGGCCCTAAACTATAAAAAAAAAAAGGATTTTGGGGGTACGGGCAGCAGGTGGTGTGGTGGTTATAGGTGCTGGATTCCCACATAGCCGACTGTGGTTGGAATCCTGGACCTTGCAGTTTGCTTTCTCACTTTCCCTTTCTCTCTGTCTCTCTTGGTCAAATTAAAAAATAATAATAACAAATGAAATAAAATAAATAAATAAATATTGGGGGTAAAGGATTCAGGGAAATAGCAAATGTCATAGTGGTTACATCACTGGACCCCACCTAATCTACCACCGTTTGGGTCCTAGACCTGGTGATTTGAAACTCAGGCCAGGCACATGTACATGTATACCCGAGATCCCAAGAGGAGAATGGAGGAGAAGGGATTGTGGCATGGTTATCCACCTGGGAGGGTGATTTCTCACTTCTCTCCCTGTCTCTGAATCCTCTCCACTCTCCAGCAAGTGTATGCACCCTCTGGCAAAAACCTTAAAGAGAAAGACTTCAGGAGTAGCTTAGCTGGTAGTTCTGGGCCAGGTGTTTTTGTGAGGTTGTAGTTAAGATGTTAACTGAAGATGCTGTCATCTGACTGGGGCTGGAGGAACTGGCCTCCAAGCTCACTCGTGGCTACGGGCAGGAGGATTCCTCAGTTCCTCACCATATGGGCTGGCCTCCATGGGGCTGCTTGAGTATCCTTATAACATGGCTGCTGTTTTTCCTAGAGGTATGAGTGATCTGAGAGAGTTAAGGAGCAAGTTTTCTTCTCACTTCTGCTGTATTCTATCTGTTAGAAGCCATAATCTTGATTCAGCTTATACTGAAAGGAAAAAGAAAAAAAAAAAAAAACCTCAAACTTCTCTTCTTGAAAGAATGAATATCAAGAAATATGTGGACTGGGAACCAGCAGTTAGCGTAATGGCTATGTCGCTGGACTCCCACGTAGTCAACCGCGGTTCACGTCCTGGACCTGGTGGCTTAAAACTCACGCCGGGTGCGTGTGCGTGCATGCCCTAGATCCCGAGAGGAGAATGGAGGAGAAGGGATTGCGGTGTGGCCATCCCTCCTGGGGGGTGATTTCTCGCTTTCTGTCTCTCTGTCTCTCTCTCTCTGTCTGGCGAGCGCACGTGCCCTATAGTGAAAACCTCTCCAAAAAAAAAAGAAAGAAAAAAAAAGAAATATGTGGACATATTTTAAAAGTACCAGACAGAGTGATCAGGTGGAGGAAAATTTGAGACTCAGTTATACCAAAAAGCAATGAATGAAGACTTTTTAGCAGTTTGACTTTGTATAGGGCTCAGCTTCACAAAACGAACCCTAGTAGGCTAGAGTCAGCACGGAGACCTCCATCACCCCAAGCAAGGCCCAGACCTGGCAGAGAGCGCATCTGAATGTCCACACGGAGCAGCGTCATGGGTGGACCCTGGGCACATAGAGTCTCACTGGGTGATCTGAAGCCTTTTCTCTGAGCCTCAGAATTTCCATCTGCAAAATGGAACTCTCTGGGTTTAAAAGTACTGAGGGCTAGGCCAGATAATGGTATGCTGGTTGGGATGGCTAGATCCCATGTGACCACCTGGGTTCATTCCAGACCTGGTAGCTTGAAAACTCACTGGGTACCTGTGTGTGTGTGTGTGTGTGTCCAAAATCCCAAGAGTAATATGCAGAAGGGATTGTGACATGACCTTCCCTTGTGTGTGTGTGTGTGGGGGGGGTGCTTTATCTCTCTTTTTCTCTCTCTGACAGGTGCACACTTTTAGGGGGGTGGCTTCCAATCTTTTCTATTATTAAAAAACTGGTGCTTCTGTATAATTTCTAATTTAGACCTTTTCCTTAAGTATATTTATTGTAATTTCTGTCTTATTTTGGTCCCAGCATTTAGTTCCTGGCATAGTGGAAGGCTGGTATGGGTTGATATATGAGTATTGTGCTAACCAGATTTTTCTCCTAAATTCAAAATAAGAAGCTTTTTTGTGCTGTCTCTGAAGTTCTTCCTTCCTTTCTCTGCACTTTTATTGTTGAAGGAAACAATTGGACAGGAAGTCGATGGGGATGGTGAGCAGATAGGTGATCTTAACTAGTGTGCTGTCTGCAAGTATAGTTTGGTTACTTTCTTGAGTGGCAGTAGAAGAAGAACATTTGTAATTTTGTGATTTGCCTGTGTAATATGATCTTTTTCAGACCCAGCATCATTCAGAGCACCTTTTTTCCATAGGACAGAGGAAAATTAAGCCAGCTCTGATTTTGGAGGAGTTAAAGAATTTGTGATCATTTTTGAAAGGAAGCAGTCATCATTAAGCTTAACTAATAATGGTGGTAAACAGCTAGTTGAAAGGGTCTGTTTGTTGGCTTTAGGTTTTTAGTCTTTGCTAAATAAGAAGTAGGCCTGGCTCAGTAGCCTACTAGTTATGGGAGTCAGATCCCACCTTTTGAATCCCAGTCCTTGTAACTTACAAAATAAAATCCTGACAAGATGGAGAAAGGGACAATACCCCATGGTGGGGGTGCTTTATCTCTCTTTTTCTCTCTCTGACAGGTGCACACACTCTATTGCAAAGTTTATTTTTCTAAGTTGCTGTGAGGGATTAAATAACATATCAAAGTGCTTAGCACAGATCAGCACTTAAGGATATTGTTTATTAAATACACTGAGCCAAAGGACCACTCTTGTTATTCATATGTAATCGAGGCAGATGCTTCGGATTTATGGGACAGGCCAGGAGAGAGGGTTTGCAAAGGGAAGAAGACAGGACCAGGGGAGACCTCAGGTGTACAAGCTGCAAGAGTCGGTCAAGACTTGGTCCCTTCTTCCTTGGGGATGATGGCTCTGTAGGGGGACCTGCCCAGTATGCACTGCCCATGGGGCCAGACAGAGGCAAACTGGGGCAAAGGAGAGAGAGCAGATGGGGAGACCGTCAGAGTGCTCTATATTCACGTAGGGCCCAAATAGGACTGGGAGGAAGGTCAGGGCTGGGGCTGTCTCTGAGGCTCTGGAGGAGGAGGTCACATGGTGGAAGGAGTGGGACTGCCCCACAGGGCCCCTGTTCCGACTGCCACTCACTGTGCCTTCCTGTGTTTTGATAGAGAAGTGGGACGCCTTCATAAAGGAAACCGAGGACATCAACACACTCCGGGAGTGCGTGCAGATCCTGTTTAACAGCAGATATGGTGAGTGGGCGGCGCGGCCCGCTGTGGCCCCAGCACCACGTTGAGCATCTCATTACGTGGCAATCACTTGTGTTCCCCAACACGACAGCGGGAGCCATATGCTGGCACCCGCGCGCCGTCAACGCGAATGTCAGCCGGAGCCGGCTCCTCCTGTCTGGGCAGGGGGTGGTTGTGTCAATATTTCTCTTGCAGATTCTTCAGGGGGTGGAATCGATGGCAAAGGCCCAGATCTGGCCTCACCTGCGGGAAGCGGGGCGGGTGGTGGGCAGGTTGCCCCTCTGGGGGTCCCCGCAGACAGAGGGGCCTCGTGTGTGTGTCCGTTCCCCACGCCACCACGCCGCTCGTGCCTATGCCTTTGCCCACATCGTGCCCTCTGCCTGATGTGCCCTTTACGCTTTTGGGGGGCAGACTCCTAATTGTGCTTTGATACTCGGCGTGGGGATTGCCTGCTCCAGGAAGCCTCAGGCTCCAGCCTGGACCAGGGGCCTCTGCAGCCCTGACAGATGTTCGCCTTCCGTATGCAGCTGTGTCTGAGGCCAGGACTGTGCCCGCTCTTCTCTGTGCCTGGCTCCCAGGACAGAGCCAGGCTCAGAGCAGTTGTCGGCCCCGTTGGCCTGGGCTGCAAGCACGGGAGGGGTAACCGGACAGGTGTGGGGTCCTCCACATTGGCTCAGCCCCCACACTCGTTCTCCTTTGTCCTGGGGGTGTTATCCCCTCACTCCCTTGTGCAGCCTGTGTTGGGCTCTATCCATAAGCCCTGCTCAGTAGTCAGACACAGTGAGTCCCCAGGCTGGCGCGTGGCTCTCAGCCATGGGGGAGATGACACAAAGACCCACAGATCACTCCTTGACCACACGGGGTGTGTTAAACATCCCCAGGTTGTGTAGGTCCTGTTATAGGAATGTCCCCCTGCATGACAGAGCCGAGAGAGGAGGAGGGGACCCATGAGGGTTTCAGGGAACATAGGGCCAACAGGGTAGAGAGGAGGGGCAGTGACCTGGGGCACTCCCTGCATACTGGGGAGAGGACAAGCCCCCTGTTCCCCCAGGAGTGGGCTGGCCGCTCTT